ACTTAAAATTTTAGAGAATAGTTATTTAATTAAGTATATTAGTAGGATGGATTGTGTGAAGGATTTGCCCGTTGATGTGTCGAGTAAAATTGCTTCTTATAAAATTGGAGACCCTAAATACTTGAAAATCAAATATAACCATATTGAGGCATTAAAGAGAATACAAAACAAATATAAGATTTCAAGACACGGTCCTAAAATAACAAGACATTTGAAATCAAGAAAAAGATATACATAATTGAATACTGTATTATGAACTGTATTATGAGAGAGGGAGTGCCATTTAGTTTGACAAGTATAAAAGACGTAATAACAGAAGAACAAGAAGAATTATTATCTTTAATTTTTGAAGAAGTAGAAGATTATTTAAACTATAGTTAAACTTGATGATGAAGTTCAATTAACGGCAAAACTACCAGAAAAAGAATATGAAGAAAATGAATTTAGTTGTAGAGAGATTTATTTTATGAATGACTTTCATGAATATTTAGATGAAGATAATATAGAGACAATGTTAGAGAAAGCAGTTGAAGAAATACAGACCGACATAGAAGAAGACCAAGATAAAGATAGTATAATAGGAATACAGGCATTTCATTTTAAATTTGTAATTATTGAAGACATTTACTCATCATAATTCTAATAATATTACTTATTAGATTTATGGATTATTAAGACGGGATTATTAAAGACTAAGGAATTTTCTTTATTGTTGTTCTTTGTTTTGGTTTGTATTTTGTTCTTTGCTTTGTCTGTTTCTTTGTTTGTTGGCTTGTTGTTTGGTTTTGGGTATTGGGTGTTGTAATTTTCTATGAATAAAATGATAAATCTGAACTACATATTTAAGAAAATCACTGTTTTAATATTTATGGAAGATAAAACGTGTAAAACATGTGAAAGAACTATGGACATTAATAATTTTAATGAAGGATTAAAAACTTGTAAAATGTGCTTATCAGATCAAAGAACCAGTTATAACAAACATAAACATAGACGAAATGAGGTTCAAAGAAAAAGATATGAAGAAGATGAGGAATATAGAAAAACGAAGCAGGACTACAATAAAACATTTCAATCTAAAGTTGTTAGTTGTTCTGTTTGTAATTGTTCAATGACCCAAGCAAATTACTATAAACATAAGAAAACAGAGAAGCATCAAAGAAATTTAGAACAGGTCAGTAGTTAGGATTTTGTAAAAATGAATGAGGTAATGATGTATTGTCTGTTATGATTTTCTAAAAATGAAAGAGGTATAATATGGTTAGTAGTGATGATTTTGAAAAATTAAAGAGGTAATCTATGGTTAGTAGTGATGATTTTGAAAACATGAAAGAGGTAATTATGTTTTGATATTGTTGAGAGAAAATGAAGCAATCAACAATATTTAAACTGATTTTTTTGACTGTTATGTTTTTTTTTAATGAATAATTGTTGAGTTGTTATACTGCTATGATATGAAATGTAAAATATTCTCAGGATCAATTTTTTATATATTTTTTTTGGGGGGGCGTCAGGCTGTCGAAAAATCCGCGCGGAGAGACAAACCGTAGATTGAAACCAACACAAGCAATACTAACCAAAACAATCCACAAAACACGCCGGCAGGCCGGCGGATTGCATGGGCCAATGCTAGTTTAGCGAGGCTAAGCAAGGCTGACGAAGGACTTGGTTGGAGAAACTGTCATTGCGATTGGGGATGAGAACAACTCCAGGACGGAATTGAAGCGCTGCGGTTGCTGAACAGGCGCTCCATCACAGGCGAGGGCTGACAATTCAGCAGTGCTTTCACGATGCTTGTGGCCTGTCGTAGCGATGAAAGGGACGTTTGTTGCCAACAGCTCTTGTGCCAGGAGGCCGCAGCACTTGGACAATTTTGTGGAAGCCTCTTCCTGATCTGATGCACTGCCAAATACATTGGGCGGTGCAGATCGTGGAAAGCAATGGAGTTGCGCCGCGAGACATTTTCCAAAGATCCCAGAGCTCTTTGATAAAGTTCTGATCAAACACTCCACCTGGCCCTTCTCTAAGTCAAGCAAAAGACAGTGATGATTAATCATACTTGACTGGGATCCCGCTGGACAAAATCGGCATCGGCTGGAAGTCGATTACCCATTTTAAGGGAACAGGTTGCTTGGCCTGTCCCTTTCTGCATGCAGGGCTTCCATTGTTTCGACCCTCCCTGCTCAATGCACAATGAAGGTGTTCATCGTTGTCAAAGCAAAATGAAGTGCGAGTGTCAGGAATGGCAACGCAGACAAGATGAACCGAAGTAGCTGCCCTTGATCAATGTACAGAAGCTGATTGATTCTTTTTCTTTTTTTACTCTGGTTGATTCATTTTCCTGCTCCGCATGATTATTTGTTTCTGCAGCGCTTGTGCTCCCAGCTGGCTGACATATTGGTCCCTATCTGGCCTTCCCCGCTTGCAATGTCCAGCACACATTCAGCCGTGCCCATGGAAGAAGCTCAAGAGCTGTTGGTGGAAGTGCCCGAGGCCCGGTTTTGTGCAAGTACCATGAAGTACCTTTCGGAGTTTTTCTTCAGGTGGCAGAAGCTGGAGTTTTTGGCCTACAAAGCAGTAGAAAAGCCAACCATTCTTGCCACTGTTTGATGTGGCTCAATTTGGCCTTGAGTCCTTGAGCAATACCTTGAGAACTACCTTGACAGTCTAGCAGTGATTTGGTTCACCTGACAGTCGCCTGCCGCCCGTCCAACTTGGCGGTGGAAAGCCGTGGGCTCTGCGATCGTGCTGGCGCTGGTGGCTCTGGGAAGGGCGATGGAGCTGCTTTTTCGGACTCAAGCCATGTGTAACAAGACAGATTAGGTTGACAACCAGCTGAGTATGTTTATTGTTTTTCATCCATCAGACATGTACCTGATTCTTCATTGATCATTCTATAGTTTTGATTCACTGATCGGACTGACCTTACATTAATAAATCACTATCTCGAATCTCGATTGTGTGACTTCTTGTTTTTGTCTTTGATGATCTCAGTGACCTCACATTAATCAATATCTGAATTGCTCGACATTTGATTTGATGTTTGTGACTGTAACATGAAGAGCCAGCTTGCTGATTTGGTCCGGTGTCATGCCAGCCATATCAGGTGGGCTGCGCAGCGTTCGCATACAAGGCCATGCCTGCAGAAGAGCCTGCATGGCCTCCATCTCAGATTGAAAGATGCTTCTTGAATGTTTCTTGATACCAGTCCTATGACAAACCAATAGACCTCTCTATTGATTCTATGTACGCTTCAGGACATCCAGTGTGATGCAGACCATCAACGATTGGGAGGAAATCCCTGGGATTGACAAGGTCATTGAGCACGCTAAGAGAAGCTCGGTCGCAGCATACAGCTTGGACAAACGCCATCTTCTCCAACACTGCGGTCGCGAAACTCTGTTATGTATATAACTACGTATGACATACATCGATTTGGATTTCAGGGTGGCAGATGAGACAAAGACGCAATTTTGCAACCTCCATGGAGCATTTTTTGGTTATGAATCGGTATGAACATCGAACTCTGCAGACACAGTTCCCATCTGCCGGCTGAGCCCTCGAGCTGAAGCAGCCCCTGCGGAACCTGAACGACTTGTTCTACGAGTCCCAGCCGGAGGAACTGCCATGGATCCGCACCGAGTGCGTGATCGACGTGGTTCAGGCCAGCAAGTTGAGAGAATGTGGGGGCAGGGAGGCTCTTGCCATTGGCTAGAACATGCTAAAACAGATTGAACCAACCTGTGCAGGGCGCCGCCTACTTGGGACAGGCAGTGGTCTTCCTGTACAAGGCCAGGCTCGATGATTGGAGAAAGACAGCCCTTTCCAGAGAAAGACTTGGGATCGGCACTGCCACAAAGGGGTCGAAAGGTGTTGAAACTCATTCAGAATGGGCGGCAACCCACAATTTTTCGGACGTTTAGCCTCTTCAACAGAAAATCTGAAGCCTTTTGAAGGCCATTGACTACGACGGGCTCAAGTGCCCCAACAACTCCCCAGTGGGCTGCGCTGCCAGTCACTTGGCGGCACTTCGCTTTTATCGTGCAGTTTGGGATAAATTTTGGTTTAACCGGACCGTTTAACCCGAACCATGCAGGATCAGATGTAATTAGCACCAGTTACATGTACATGCCATGATTGTGTATAGGTGTATGCTGTATGCTACCTTGCTCGGCCACTTCGTTCTTCCACGACGAAACATTTGAGGTGTGGCGGGTTTCATCACCTCCATCACCTGGATCGCCTCTTACCTCTCCTTCGCTGCCAACGCCTGTGGCGCTGCCGTCAACTCTGGTGCTCTCTGTGCGGGAGACTGGACGGCCCTGATGGCGAACTTTGGTGAGATGGCGACCGCAGCTTGCTCGATCTTGCCAGACTATATAGACACAAAATGAAACAAATGGTTGTTCCAACATGGCAATCGAAATCCTTTAGGATGAAGTTCCAGGTCGTTTGCTCCAGCCTTTCTCCTTCCCGTCTCGGGTGGCAGCGCGGGGTCAAGCACGAAGCACCACACTTTTTCAGAGGTGTTGACTTTGCTGGGAAAGGTGTGTTTCATGAGCTGTTAGGTCATGTCTTGGTCATTCCAAATGACAAAAAGAAGATAAGGTCCATGAGCAAGACGACCAATTAGGTCAGTACAGCAATGAGAGGTGTGAAAATATCAACACAGGCGGACAAGGCTCGGAGCTTCAGAGACCGACTTGTGGATCCGACGACGCTTCGACCTGATTCTTCGACCCTGTCTTTGGCATCCACTTGAGGTCGGAGCAGCTGTGAAGGAGGACTGCGACTTCAACAAGGACGGAGGCTGTTTCTTTTAAATCTTTCTGTCATGCCAGGCAGGTCAGGTCAATCTGACGAACTCAGATCCAACCTCCCGGGCCAACACCTCTGGCTCTGTGGTTGCACCCCACGGCACCTCACGCCTTCTTCCATTGCGCCACGTCGCGCTGCCACGTCGCGCGCTGTCACGGCGTGCTGCGTGCCTTCGCGGCGAGGACTGGATCGCCCTGCTGCACGTGACCGACGCCAACCCCCTGCCACCCAACTGGCAAGCCTTCGTCCCTGCCGGCGCCGCACCCACCGTGGAGACCATCGCCAAGGTGGACGCGCTCCGCACGGTGCCTTGGGCGGCACGTGGGAGAGGCGGTGGGCCGTTGGGAGCGGTGGCGACACGGCCTTCTGGTCAAAGCGCTCTCTAAAATGGAAAAGGCCGCCGAAAATTGAAAGCATGTATTTGTATGTATTTGTCGATATTTTGGGATGAGTTTTGGAGTGAGTGGATGCTCTTTTTGAAAAAGGAGCGGACTTCGGATTCAGAAGCTGAAAGTGCCGTGATGCTGGAGTCGAAATGTGTTGTGGAATTTGCGGAAGTATCTGAATTTCTATATTTTGCTCATAAAGCAATTGAACATACCTGAACCATCCTGAACCAAGTGTTGCTTTCGTTTGTTCTTAGTCGTTGTAGGTAGAAGAATGTACTCCTGCCCAATGTGCCATGTTTAAAGCTGGAGTTGCTTCCGTAGAGTAGGATGGTCATCATCTCTAATGGACTTTTTGACGACAAAACACTTAGGCTATCTTGGCAGGGGAAGGACAACTGGACCATCCCCATCGAATGTTGACCGTGGCACACGAACGAAGTTATATACAATCCTATAGTTATTGTTTCAAACTTTGGAGGACATAATTTAAAGTCAGGCACCTACCTTAGCCTATTTAAAAGTGTTGCCACTTCTTCAGCAAAGGACGTGCCGACATGCCAAGTACAGTAAGATTCTGTGTACGATGTATGTGGAAAGGGCCTTTCGAAAGGATGACCAAGAAACCTTGCCTCCGACCTTCCACGTCTTCACTGCATGCGCCCAGACCGCGATCGGGTTCCTTTTCGTGTCCCTTGGACCCTCCTCCCCATGCGATCGGTCGGTCGGTCGTCTTATCGGGGTCGCCGTGGGTCGCCGTGGGGTCGAAACTGCTGAGTCCAAGCGCAACCGCAACTTCGACCTCACCCAGTGCGTCATGGCCGACGTGACCAACGCGGTCCGAGGGCCTGGTTTGGAACCGGGGAGGGGAGGGTGAGGAAGCCAGAGCGGAGGATTCGGGGATTGGCTGGGTGTGCTGAGGTCCTTTTGGATATGATATGATTTCCCCTATGGGTGAATTGTCAGGAATATACCAGGGGTTGCCAAGGGGGTGGTTAATGGATACCCCCTATAATAGCCATTTAACCATATTTATAACCTCTAAAGAGCTGTACTATATTCTAATGCCTTTTTTTGCCCGGTTTCGAACAAGCAGCTATCCAAGTGAAGGTCGCGTGGAGGCCGAGGATCTCATCGTCACGAAATGGTCGGGTTGGGGAGATGGGGGAGATGGGGAGGTTCTGCTGGTCATCGGCAGTGTTCGATTTGGGTACCCATCACCCGGATCATCGGCTGGTCGATTCGTCCTGTTCCGAGATCACCGCACCCTTGTTCCAGGTTCTTTTGTAAAGCGGTCAGTCGAAGTGAGGTGAGGCGATCCGCCGACGTCGACCGTGGGAAACAGGTGAGTCGAGGTGACTCTATAGAGTTCCAGGCCTTGAATCGATTTCATTTCGGTGTGTCTTTTCATAGGGGACCCCCTCTCACCCACCAGGTTCGGGTGGTGGTCTATGTCCTGGAAGTCAGGGCTCGGGGACGCCTGGGAGGTCTCCCTATTCTAATGCGCACCCAACTGTTTCTCTTGTTTTTTCTGAGGCCTCCTACATTGTCCGTGTCATCCTGCAGATCCGCTCTGCAGCCAGCGCCTGCCCCGAGCCAAAGCCGGGGCGCCCGAGTCTTTCTCAGTCCGCAACCCCCTCCCCCGCAGCTAGCTGGTGGGCGTGATAGGGATCAACAACTGTCCCCAAACCAGTCAAAATGTTTGTCCGGGATTGGATCTGATATGATCTGATGACGTATAGACCGTATAGACTTTTGATTCATAAATCAGGGGTCTTACAATCCAAATGGCAGCCTCTTGAATCCCTTGATTGATAACCCCCCGAACTTAGATTGTCCTTTGCCTTAAGTCAAGAGTCTAGTAGCAAGAAGCTCGTAGGGTGGAGGCCAGGCCCGCAAGTAGGCTGGCATTCGTGGACATCGGACGGACCAACCGCTCGGCCGAGCCACGAAACGCACACCGCCCCAGGGCCATCCAGGGCCCCCAAGACGACGACCTCAACGTCCGAAACATCTGAATAGCATCGGTTCAGGCCCCTTTGAGGCAGTGGCAGTGAATGGTGAGACTCCGAGTAGTGAGGATTCAATTGACATCAGATTGCCCAAGGCGTGAAAACCGGTTGAGTTCCACCAGTTCGTCGTGGTGAATGGCGAAACCAAAAACGGGTCTAGTGCTGCCATCCCACCCGCTCAGTGTAGAAACTCAGTATGTTTCAGCTGGAAATTCGCTCTTCAGGGCCTGCGCCATCAACATCATGAACATCATCAGCTCCTTCGCGTGGATCTCCCAGTTCACGTTGCTTGGTGCTGAAAGGACGGAGGACACGACTGGAAGGGCTCAGTCTTCCGGTATGACAGGCACTTGAGCCGTTCAAACCGGGGGGAATTTGAGCCGTTCAATTTCGGCATCGTATGGCATCACCTTTCTTTTGCGTGTTTGTTGCGTTGTTTATGTTTTTTTTTTTTTAATAAGTGTTCTATTTTTTTTGCATGTTGTGAGGAAACATCGCCGAACGACCTGGTTGAAGAACCCTAATCCCAGTTGGGTACCCCAGTTGACGGCTCCTAGTTCAGGTCACTTGACCTCTCAGAAGGTCCTGTGGTGAAGAGCCCCGGCCATCCTTGCATCTGTTTGAGAGAATACAGCCTAGATCCAAGCACGCAAGTGGTGGCGGTGGTGGTGGTGGTGGTGGTCGTGGTGGGGTTCGCTGTTTCATAATGATGGTTGATTTACCGCCAAAGAAACAACGAACTCAGCCAAGGGCCTTGGCAGTCTCTGACTGCTGGACGAAAGGAAGCTGGCCGAAGGGGAACGGGCGGAACGGGCTGGGGGGAGGACCCTTAGATCGGCTGGGCAACCATGTTCTTTTCTCTCAGGCTCAGATGACTATTGGGTTTGCTTAAGGGTTGAGTTTGCTATGGTTTGCTTAAGGGTTTGCTTTCTCTCTGTGCCAGATGGGCTTGCTTAAGCTATTTAGGGTTGGATTACCTATCCAGGGTCAACATTGCTGAGCGCATGGATGTGCATGATGAACGATCATGATCAAGGAGCAAACCACCAATTGATGCCAATGGGAAAAAGAACTGTACTTCCCAGACGGCTCACCTCAAAAAAACTTGCACCTGGCCCATTTTCCACTGAATCAAGCCTCCTGGTGGACTCCCACGAGCCTCCTGGGTCTTGCGCAGTGTTTGGGTTTTCAGGGCCTTCCAGGTCTACACAGCTGCAGGTAGCCGCCCAAAACACCAGGCCCACCAGGCTCTCAATTTTGGGTCAAGCGCGGATTCGTTCCACATACACTATGTTTTCCTTCCTTTTCTTGTCTTGACCCCCCCAAAAAAGGGGATGGCGATCCATTGCGCCCCGACTACTGACGCCAGCCGCACCATGGCCCAGGAAGCCAGAAGGCCTTGCGCCGCTGACATCTCGGCGCCTCGCAAAGCACTGAAGCTCCGTCTCTCCGTCTCTCCGGGGACCGGTGCCGCCGGGGTGGCCGCCCAGGACATGGTGGCCGCCGTGACCAACGGCCCTGCCGCGGGCATTGCCACGACCTCTGCAGCTGGGCGAAGGATGCGAAGGTACGGTGGCACCGAAAACCAACGGCGATGGGCTCATGACTCGTCGTGGTCGTTTTGTGACATCTGAGTAGCGTTTTTTTTCCTATGAAAGAGTTTATACTTTATACAAAAGTGGAACTGCTCTTGATGTTGCGTAGGCTGTTTTGTTTGGGGGCGGAAGCTTGCGTAGACAACCGCGTAGGAAAGCATAGTAGTGTCTCGAGTGTCTCGCGTAGGCAGGTTTGCGTAGTTGTAACTTGGAATAAGTCCAATAACCTGTAATACCTGCTGGAAAGAACAATGGATCATGGATTTTCCTTCAGTACCTCAACAAAACCCTCAAACTGGAACACGCTCGCGTAGGCTACCTCACACACTTTTGATATGTGGCGTAGGCACTCGCGTATACATGCTGCGGAGTGATGCGGAGTGTATGCTTCCAAGCACCCAAAAAAACCACCACTCATCTGAGGATTGCGCAGACATGCCAGACCCCTTGGAGGAGGAGAAGCACCTCCCCATGGACTAAGATGGAGGAGCCCAGCTGGTGTGTTTGAAGAAGACGCAGCGCACTCGTCTCCTGTTCAACCTTCCTGTAACTGTAACAACAGCGAACTACAGACAACCCCAGAATAGCTGCTTGAACAGAGGCTCATCCAACATATAGCTGCTAAGTTCTGCAAATAATCGTTGTCGTCCAGTTTGCAGTATTGCTTGGATAAGACATGATAAGGATTAAAAGCATCTTTTGCAGAAGTCCAGCCTCCGCTACCTTGATTTCAGCCGACTTCAAGGCCCGAAACCATCGGACTTGATCTTCAGAATTCCATCCCACTACTGCTGCACCTATACTACTGCTGCTCCTGTAGGTTCGGCCCCAGTCCGCCTGCTTTTTTTTGGGGGGGGGTTCCGTGGAGGATCCTACAGTGCTAGCGATGGCCTCCAACCTAATTCGATGGCCTCCTGGGTTCCGTGGAGGTTCCGCGGAACCCGAACGTTCTTGCTTGACGCAGGAGAAAGGCCCTGCCGCAGATGGCCGAGAAGGCGTTGTCCTCCCCACGGTGCGCCCACGCGTTTTGTTTGGGCCGGTCGGGCGGGTGTAGAGGCGCGATCGTACTTGACTCAACAAAACACACATAATGTAGACTCTTGATTAATCACCCCCCCCACATGAAGAGGATGTCCAATTGAAATGGGTGGGTTTACTAATCAAGAGTCTGCACAACATGAAAAAACAGTAACAGAATAGGCCAGCAGTTCCAAAGGGGTGCTTAATGGAGGTTGGGGGTGCCCATGATCCACTCACTTGTGGGGGGAGGATTGGCTTTTGTCTATTCCGAGGACCAATCTGGGAGCCATTCCCCGAGTGGCGGCGGCAGAGACCGGGCACGAGGGCACCATGACACCACCACCTGAAACGGGGGGAACCTGAAACGAGTGGTTTACGGCACCCAACGATGGCCTTTTGCACACAAGGGCGACCCGCCCTGGCACCACCACCCCTGGCCGCCCGTGGCACGGGTCAATCTGGCAGGTCCCGTGGCACGGGTCGTGTCGACGGGTCAATTTCCAGTGGACGTACCGGTGCGCCGTCGAGCAGCACGTCGAGCCGTCGAAACGGACGGATTTCCAGCGAAACGGAGCAGCTCGGACGGAGCAGCTTTCCAGGTGTTAAAATCTGACTGACTCACATGGAAATCTGCCCTATCCCTAGGCTTCCTGGCCAACCATTCATTTATATAACAGGCTGAAAGATTCGAATCAACTAAGGATGTTACACTACAAAAACCAGGTCAACCATGTTTTTAATTGTCTTGGAAGTCTAGGGCTATGCATCTGCCATGGCTCTGCCTACTGATTTGGGCTGAACTGATGTTGTTTTCCGAGAAAGAATTCCTTCGACCCACCTCATCCAGCATTCCAGAAGCATTCCTAGCTCATGTTTGCTTTGCTACAGGCAGTTTCAGCAATCCAGTTAGTCTCACCTGGTAAACATCTTCAACGTGTTTCAAGAATCTACTCGGAACCTCAGGGAGAACATAGAGAGGAGAGAACATGGTTTCCTTCCGCATGGTGAAGCCATTCAGGACACACACACACACACACACCCTCCTCGCCAGGAGGCTGCGGCGGGATTTGGCACAGCAGGCGCATGCAGCGTCGGCGTACAGAGGAGCCCACAGAGTTCTCCCGCTGGGCTCGCGCAAGGCAGTTCAAGGCCTCTCGAAACGGCTCCATGACCATTTTAGATCCATGTAGTTCAATGCAAAAATCAAGCAAGAACATGCCCGACCAGCGGACTGTAATGTAACCTTTGAACCGAGGCAAACCATTCCTAATCACCTCGGATCCACTGGAACCACATGTTTCTTCTACAAGCCTCCGAGACGAACCTCTTCTTTGCATCCTACAATTCCGTATTCTCTGCCGCGCTCCCCAACTGCGCAGGGTCTGTGGATATACAATAAAACGTCAGAGATGTTGAAGTGAGCAGTTGTTTTTCTTTTTGCAGCCTGGCAGCGTTTAGCTTGGGATCTCAAATGCACTATATCCATCACGGTACCTAGAGCCCATTTGACCTCTTGGACGGGAAAAGCTCCATAATTCTTTTGGATAGTTGATCCTCCAGAAAAAGGGTCACTCAGGTTCTAGGCAAAGACTGCAAAGAGGTTCTACAAGGGTTTGACACTCGAGAAACAGCTGCTCGAGGTTTCAGTTGCTGTGGTCTCAACCTGGCAGGAGGTGTTCGTCGTTGTCAACTGGGACAATGCGGAACGCACCGAACAACAAGTTTGCGAATCGCTATGCTTCAGAAAGCTGGAGTGTCAGGGCTCCAAGTTTTGGCCAAGGAAACCGCGGTGAACCAAACAGGACTGTTCTTCATCATACTCAAAGAGTTGCCAAGGACAACCTAAGGGCCCCAAGGCTGGAGATGTTGGATTCCCATCCAGACGGAAACGCTTCCTTGGCCAGCCCTGACTGCCGGCTGATCTTCCACGATCTGCGTCCAGCGCCCCGCGCGACAAGGGCGTCAGACAGCGGCAAGCAATGGAGTTGCACCGCAGATCGACAGACAGGAGGATCATGGAGGATCCCTGGCGCCAACGAAATGGCGGATTTGGGTCAAGGTCAGGTCAGGAACGTGTTCCATGAATATTGGGTAGGATCAAAACCTATCCAATGAGTAGAGTAATTATTTCAGTGAAGATCCGGATGCAGACAGTTTTTATGTTGTTGGCCTTCCAATATTTGTGAGACGCATTTGTTGTACACTTTGATGCTGTGGAATGCCGCGCCTGGCAGCGTTTGGGATCTGATTCTCGGTCGATCTATTCAATCTATTCCATGAGAACGATCTGCGTTCGGAAGCACCCGATCAGGTATCCTTGGCCCACAAACCAGACCAGTCGCAAAAGCGGTTGCATAGGTGGAAGAGCTGTCGGTCTATCGACATCTCCCTCTGATGCTACCCCATGTCTTCTTCCCCGTGTAGCCAAGTAGAATTTGAAGGAATGAAGGCGAATGTGTAAGACCTGTTTGGAAGAAAAACACATTTCTGCTGGCTTCGACCAGTTCTCCTGCCCGCTTAGCACTATCTGCCTTGCCACGTGTGGATCGGTACTTGAAGATGCCCTTTGCTTCTTGCGAGGACTGTTCCCTTCCTTGCGAATCGTCCTCACACGAAAGCAAAGGGCATCTTCCAGCACCGATCCAGCAGAGGGTCTGTGAGTGGATCGAGGACATGCCCATTTTGTGAAGTGGAATCAGTGGCACTCAGAGAAGAATCATCATGTGGTCGTTTCCACAGAATTGAGCAGATCAGCCTAGCTAGTGATTGCTCCCCAAGGCACCTGGCAGCAGTTTCCAACAGGTCCCTTTAGAAACTGCTTCCCAGCGGATCAGCAATGGAAAGCCTATCAGTTGCTTTGTCACCAAAGTTTTCCATTGAATTCACTGGCCAGAAATAGCCAAGGAATTTCATGCGTTGGAACTCCAAATCATGTGGAGCCTTTCCCGGCACGCATGTTATACCGCGGTCGCAAAAAATCCGCCCCCCGCCCATACCTGCCACGCCCGGAGTTGAGAGTCACATCGAGCCTCGATTCAAGGACAACAGGTTGCCGGTAGTTTTTTTTTCAGCGGTTTTTGGCCGTGGCTTTGACACCTCCAGTGATAGATAGTCATACACATTAATACCTGGATCTTCAAACGGCACAAATTTTTGCCGGATGCATTTTTAGTGAAAAGACGCCGTAATCAAAAGAAATGCCGTTTTATGGGTTGTACAAAATCCATGGACGGGGAAAGACGCCGTTTGGACGCCCAAATACGCCGTTTGGACGCTTAAAGACGCCGTTTCTTTTTGCTTTCTGCCGGCGTGCGCCTCGTCACAACAAAAAACGCCGTCTTTGGAAAAAGACGCCGTAACGGCATTTTTTCCTGAAAAGGCAATTATTTGTGCCGTTTCGAAGATCTAGGTATGACAATATATAAATGTGTGTGCCACAATTGCTACACTCACTCCCAAGACTAGTCTGTCTTGCTCTGTACGAGCAAAGAACCTGACGTTAGACACTTCCCGGCACATCTGCGCATGTGGGAACGGATGCCCATCTCTTTTTATTGCTCTTGCACTCGCCGATGTCGATGTCGAAGAAACCACGCATGCGTTTGATGCGTTTGATGCGCCATGTTGGGGGCTCAGCTCGGAGACGCCCTGTTGCCCTGGCCATCTGTCGCCCTAAACCCTTCCGCCTTCGAAACGCCATGGCCCGTCCAGTGGCAGAGGAAACCGAGGAGCTTTTGGCTGAAGTGCCAGAGGTGTGTGTCGCGGGTCGGGGGGTGGGTTCAGCAAGATCAATCAGAGGTTTTGCTGGGTGGTTTTTAGATCAGTTGCACTCTTGGTTAACTCTTAGGGTTCTGATATGTTCTGATATATGCCGCTTGCATATATGTAAGTCACTGTTTTGTATTGATTGTAGTCATTTCTCCGTGGGTGTGAGGCTCGAAAACGACGTGGCAAAGGTGTTATTATTTGGTCGTGGAACAGTTCTTAGGTGACCAATGTTTGATGGGATCAGGATGCATTTTCATGCATTTTCTGTCAGATTCTTGGAAGAAAACGCGGGAATGGAAGAATCCTGGGACCTATACTGTAAGTGTTCTGCGTCCAATTGTGCTTGTGAGCCTTAGGTGTCCGTATGTTTGGAGAGCCATCCTTTTCAGGACATGAAACAGCCTCCTGACAACATCTTACTATCCCTCCTCCCCCCAAAAACAACGCCTCCTTGAGCCCTCCTTTTTCAGCGCCCCAAAGAAGATCCAAGAAGGGGACCCGACTTTTTCAGAGAAGCTCCGACGCCCCGAAACCCTAAATGTGGCAAATTCGCTTCTGGGTCTCCAACCTACTTGCGGCCACCATGCGGCTAGCGGCGCCCTTCGCAGGCGCCCAAGAATGGCTTTCGTTGGAAGCTTTTGGGCTCGGTCTCCGTGCTGGCGCTGGCTCCGCGGCGCGTGGGGGGCGGGCGAAGCAAAAGAAGGGCCTGACTAAGACGGAGCGGGGTTGCTGGAGGACGCCAGGGCCGACGCCAGGGTGGGTTTTGAGAAGGTTTTGGGGTTCCGGTGAAGCGCTCTGAGGTGAATGAGGGAATGCGAGTGGCTGGAGCCATTTTGGAATCTCTGTGAGCCAAACCACCAGCCCCACCAGTCAGTCACTGGGGTGGAAGAGGACACCTCTTCCCCAAACCACCATGGTTCCCATTGAAGGCCGAAGGGGTCGGTTGGATCGATGCCCTGAAGCACACCGCTTGGATGACGGTGCTGCGCGGTGCGGCTGTTTCGCTCGCGGCGAATCCGAGGTGTGCTGTGTGACGTTCGCCTACAAGAGACAGGTACAGCTGCAGAAGCCGGAGTCTCAGCACTTTGAACGTGCAACTACGGCTGCGTGTGCCACGTGCGCAAAAGGGACATATCCAGGTCCGATGGGGTTTGAGACCAGGGGGGACCAGCCTTGCTTTGATTGCAACAGACCCTCATGTCCTGTCCTTGCCGATTCCAGCGAGGACCTCCAGTGTGATTCAGTCCATTACCGAGTGGGAAGAGATTCCGGGTATTGACAAGGTCATCGAGCACGCCAAGAGAAACTCGGTTGGAGTTTTTTTGCTTAACCGGCGTCAGACTGAGCAGGTATATAAGTGAAATGAACGCTAACGTGTCATCCAACATCATCCAACACATCATTGGTGTGCAAAGCTTCTTCGCAATCTCTCCTGGATGAGGAGCTGTTCCTCTCCTCCAATTCACAGTCATTTACTTTGCATTCTTGGCAAATTGCGCTGACTGTGCAATTTCGAAACAATATGTGAACACCTCACTTGGCCGTCGGTAGTTGTAGCCAAGACACGAGCACTGCTGTTTAGCACTGGTAGCCACGTGTGGCCACCTGGAAGGGGCTTCATAAAAGGAAGTCACCCTTTCGCATCCTGAGCTCTGCCCGGCTGAGCTCTCGAGCTGAAGCAGCCCCTGCGGAACCTGAACGACCTCTTCTACGAGTCCCAGCCGGAGGAACTCCCCTGGATCCGCACCGAGTGCGTGATCGACGTGGTGCAGGCCAGCAAGTGCGTCTCAACACATACCCATAGACTCCATGGGACTGCCATATATGCCGCCCCATTGACCCCCCTGGCACCACCCCAATGTAGCCATATATGGCATACATGGAGTCTATGGGTCAAAGCTCAGCAACAGGTAGACCTTCGAGGCAGCGACCCCCTGGCTTTGAGGGAAGAAGAACAGTCTACCGGGGTCTCCCTATTAAAATGCAATCCTTGTAGTCACTGCATGTCAGTGAACCGGTGCAGATGACTTGTGCAGGGAGCTGCCTACTTGGGTCAAGCAGTGGTCTTTTTGTACAAGGCAGGGCCTCTGAGACAATCAAAGAGCTGTTGCTGAACAGATGTTCTTGCAGTGGTGATATAGTAATGTAATATATTGTAATATATGTCAATATAAGTCAATGTCAATGTCGTGCCTCCATGTGTATACTTTCACATGGACAGCATGAGTCAAATACAAGACCGCTGTGATGTATTCGGCCTAGCAAGTAGCCAGGCTTAGGTCACCCCTCACGTGGAGCAAGATTCTGTTGCCAGTATGCTTTGGGTGAGAGCTTGTTTCCGCTCCAGTGCGCCCGATTGCAAGGCCATTGATTACGATGGACTGAAGTGCCCAAACAACTCGCCAGTGGGCTGCGCAGCCAGTTGCTTGGTTTCAAGCTTATATGCAGCAGACGGTTGCATCATCAGTGAATAGGGCAGTAAACGGATTACAGTAAAGATGTTTTAATTCAAGCTGTATTGTCTTCTGATGTTTTCTGTAGATGTTTCATTGAGCTCGCAGGAGGTGCGCATTTTGAGTTTCCGTTTTGCAGTCACTTGCAGCCACTTGCAAGTGGCTGCAAGTGGCTGCCCAAGCTGCCAAGTGGCTGCAAGTGACTGCTACTTCTGTCGGGAGAATATCATGATTTCTCCGCACGCAGCTCTGGAGAAAACCACGATTTCTGCAATGCTGTTCTGCGAAGAAATTCCGGTTTTCTCCAGAGCTGTGCGCGGAGAAATCATTAAATCATCCAAGACTTGTCTGAGAATAAATTCCAAACTTCTGCAGAGCTAGCGACGAAGAAATCTTGCATTTTTTTTGATAAAGAACTCAAAGTGGACGTGTTGAAGTTTACTTGCTTGAGTGACAAGTGGCTGCCGAGTGGCTGCCTGAGCAAGTTTGAGATGTTCAAATGGAATACGGATAGCCTGACCTGACACGGGCGAGAATCAACCCGTCAGATGTCCCTTTTGAGGGGCTCCATCCTCACGCAAGTCTTTCAGCAGGAGGCTCCAAGCCAGGGCTAGCTCACGCCTTTCCCCAACAAGCCAGTGAGGCGTTGCCGGTTTCATCACCTCCATCACCTGGATCGCGTCTTACCTCTCCTTCGCCGCCAACGCCTGTGGTGCTGCTGTCAACTCGGGCGCCCTGTGCGCGGGAGACTGGACGGCCCTGATGGCGAACTTTGGCGAGATGGCGACCGCAGCTGGCTTGAATCCATCAGTGTTCACTGATGCCTTGGAAGTCAGGGGACTTGCCCACAACTTTCAGATACATCCAGCCCTGTTTAGAACAGACAAGTAGTGGTGTACAATCTATTTGGTTCTTTGCATGCGGGAGCAATCTGCAATCCCATCACTTTCCTTCTTGAAGTTGGCCTTGAAGGGAATTTCAGAGAGTGCAGCACAGAAGAGTACCCATGGAGGCAATTCCAACCTGCTCCAACCCCCCAAAAATCAGATCCACCAAGAACAGTGGAAATTCCCCCACAATCTTGGGAACCCAACGAACCGCGAAAATCGTGTGTTTTGCCAAGCTAGGTTGGTGCGGCCGTGAAGGAGGATTGCGATTTCAACAAGGAGAGCCGAAGATGTTGCTTTTGGGGCTTGTTCGGCGGGCTGTTTGGAGATCTGGAGAGATGTCCAAGCTGATGAATGAAAGCAGGACAAAGCCAAAGACCCAGTGCTGGGCCATGCAATTGACTTCATTTCATCTTCTTGACATCCTCTTTCCCTTTCGGCCTGCGGGGCTGATTCGTGGGGTCCTTCTGTTGCATGCCCACCCGACTGACTGGGGGGCGGCGTAGTCGCTTCTGCCCATTGCTTCGCCTGGCTCCAACCCGCGGCGTGCTGCGCGGAATCGCTGCGCAGTGCTGCGCGGCCAGGACTGGATCGCCCTGCTGCACGTGACCGACGCCAACCCTTTGCCGCCCAACTGGCAAGCCTTCGTCCCGGCCGGCGCCGCACCGACCGTCGAGACCATCGCCAAGGTGGACGCGCTCCGCACGGTGTCTTGGAAACCCGAGCAGGGAGCGGGGCGGTGAGGTTGTGGAAGGCCGTTTGGGGGACAGAAGTGCCGTGAGTAATTAGGTGGTGTGAAAAACCCAAGCGCACAATCACGCACTTTTCAACTGTGCCGGTACGGCCTCGGAAGGTAAAGTGGTCTACCCCATGGTTCTGTCACACATGGGTCCGTCCTCGGTGTCCTGAATTTCACACATCCCGGGTTGTAGCATGTGTGACTTCCTGTGCTGTCTTTGTGTGCGCTTGGCCTCTAGCATGCTTTGCTCCTCCATGATAGCATAGCTATTCGAATGCAAGACATGACGAAGAAGCGTTGGCTTGACCGTGAGTTTTGTCATACAGTCTACCAACATTTGTTTCGTATCGATCCAGCGCATACTAACTTGGTGTTCTTTCACATCTCTTCTCAGCAACAGGACTTCGATTGCTTGCCGCTTGTCTTGAATCATTCCTGTATCATTTCGAACATGATCATAGAGAGGCTTGTTGTCGGTGACCGCAATGACATCCACATTGTTTCTCAACTTGTCAATGTTGTTCAAATTGTATTCTGAATTCAAAATCTCTAAGAAAAATTGCTTTGTCCATACGGCTTCAGCTACACCTTTTGAAACAGTGTACAATTCAGCTGCTAAAGTGCTGCTGACTGCCCTTTCTTGTTTCTGACTTTTCCACTTGAGTGGTGTCAATGGTGTTGCCTTGCCCTCATGCATTGCCTTTGTTGTGGCACAAACCATGTATGCAGATTGACTCTTCAAGTCTGTTTCCGTAGCCCATGATGCATCTGCTGTTACCAAAATGGTGAGTTGTTGTAAATCAATTGGAATAACCTTCACAGCCACATGTTTAAAATCTCGAGCCTCTGCAACTGCTTTGTTTGCTTCTGCGATGTGCTCGACAGTGCCATTCTGAATGTTCTGTTGAATCTTCGCTGTCATGGCTGCTAAGTCTGGTCTCGTGGCTGTTGATAGCCAGTTCAAACCGCCAGCTACTCCTCTAAGTTGACTCTTCTCTCGTTCGTTCAATGGTTGGTCTTTCTCTCTTTTCCGTTCTCGCGAAATCTTGATGGTGTTCAACTTCTCTGCATACTCCCTCTGCTCTATGATGAAGCCCTCGTCTGTCCTGTGAATTTGTCGTCCCAAGAACTCTCCTCCGTCTGTTTTCCAATGTTTAAAGGGATACAATGCTCTCAGCTTGTCTGTCACGTGTTGCTTGAACATTGCTGTACCTGTACAAATCAAGTCATCAACGTGAACTGCCAAAGAACCGTGGTATTCTGTATCCTGCCAATAATGGAACAAACATGGGTCCAGGCACGACTGTCTCAGTCCAGTGGAGAGTAGGCTACGAGTCAGCTTGTCATGCCAAGCCTTTGGAGCATCGGCTAGGCCATATACTGCTTTCTCTGCCAGTAACAAGCTTCCTTCAGGTACTCCAGGCATGCCTCCCGGTGGAGGTTCAATGTATAGAGGACCTTCGTCACGATGTAGTTGATCTCCTTGAAGGAAGGCTCCTTCCACATCTCCAATGTTGAGCGGCCAATTCATTGAGGCACTGACTTGCAGGATAAGACTCAATGCCTCACTCGACAGGGTAGGTGCCTGCTTCTCGAGCTTGTGGAGATCGGGGTCTAAATAACCTCGAATGCACCATCTTGCTTTCTTCTTGTACTTGCCTGGTTCTTTCTCATCTGGCTTCTCCGTGATGACGAAGCGGGATGGTAAGATCCTTCCCTTTTTCCGTCGTATTTGTTGAGCCTCATGTGGTGGGATAATCTTCAATGCCTTGTACTTGAACAGCTTCTCCACTTCAGCTCTCTTGCTTTCTTCGAGAACCAAATCTTTGTTTTTGTTGAGGCCATCCCAAATGGTCACCTCATATATCTCATGTTCTCCCTCCGGAATGTCATGTTCCAGGTCAGGCATTTTGATCTCAAAAACAGAATATCCAGTCCACTGTTGCAATTCTGTGTGTTGCTGTGCAGGTTTGTTGAAGTCTTCGTCGATCACAACGGTATAGCCATCGATGCCTTCTGTTCTGATCAAGGAATATCTCTTGCCTGTCAGCCACTGAAGTGGAATAGGACATGTCTTCTCACTTGGTTTGAATGGTCCTTGTTGATATCCATGGAGTCGAATAAGGACTCCATCATCCCAAGAAATCTTCCACTTCCTTGTTTTGTCTGTCCACTGCCCTGTATCCATTTCAGCCTGCAGCGTGTCATGGATGTTTCGACTCTGTCTTCTCCCTGTATCAAGTCGGCTAAGGTCTTGTCTCATGGCCCTAGTCAGTGGTGTTTCACGGACTGGTCCATAACTGTTGCTGCTTGTCACCTCTGCTGGTGATGCACTCGGCATGTCTGTTGGTGTTGGATGCGTTGGCTCAGTGGATGTGATCATCTGACCTGTGTTGTTGTCCTCTGTGCTATCCACTGGTTCGTCTTCTGGTACCTCAGTTGGTGTGTATGAAAGGCTAGGTGTTCCTGTCGGTGCGTCCTCTTGCATAGGCACTGGATGTGTTCTAGGCCCATCATAAGCATCTGTTGATAGATCCTGCAACTGCTCGTTCTCTTCACGTTGTCTTTTGATGGTGAAGACAGTACATCCTGTCCAGTCTGCTTGTTTGTCTCCGCCGCCAACCTCTCGCCAGTCATCAAACATCTCCTTCTTCACTGCGATCATGTTTTGGTAGTTGATCATAGTCTTTCTTCGACTGTTCAATCTAGCCAAATCGACTGGTGGTTCGTCAGCTTCCAACGGAACATACAGGTGGTTTCGAGGTTGTACATGTATTCGTCTCAAAAGTATTCCGTTCAGTTCCCAATAATCTCTTCCACTCTCAGCCTCTTCACTGGGCGGTCGCCGGTCAGCTGAGATGTCGTGGTACGTGGCTACACCACGCTTGGAAATGACATGGGACCAATCTATCAACTCCTGAGGAATGAGCCGAATGCTGGCTTCATCTTCGGCTCTCAAACGACGGAGTTGTTCGGGTGAACATTTCAGAACCTTCGTACCAAAAGAAACCCAAACCTTATCATGACCACTCGACCCGATAACCGTTCCGGGGCCCCTCCAAAACCAAGCCACCGAACTACCGTCTTCCTTCTTCCTACCGGGTCTCCAAACATACACCTTACACCCAGGGTAAAAAGGCCCTCGCTCCGGTCGCGTCCGTCTCTCAACCGCACGACGAATCCGATCCTCGCTGTCGGCATCGATGAAGGCTTTACGTGCTTCTTGTCGCATCTGAACGGATCGAACGAAACTAGCGTCTCCAGCCAAATACCCACTGTTGATACCCACATGAAGGTTGTCCTCACCACCATACACCATGCCAGGAATTCTGGCCTGCTGACCTAAAACCCTTTGGTGGGGGGAGTGACCATCATGATTCACCATGGCATTCTTGGCAACATTGACCTGGTGGATCAGCTCTTCCGCCTGTTCCTTATCATTCGGGGGAAAAACACTGGCCATCTTCATGAACATGGACTTCCACGTGCTTCCGTGTCTCTCGCAAAACCCGTTTTGCCAAGGGGAAAAACCCGCGCTACGCTCATCCGAGGTCCCGTCCAACCAAAGTCCCTCCTGAAAGGGTCCCTCGAACTCCGACCCATTGTCGGCAAACAAGCGTTTCGGCGCTCCGAACGTGGCCTTCCAATGTTTCCGATAGGCTCGACGAGTCTCTTCGGCGTTTCGACCGGCCCACAACGGCATGACCAAGTGGAAGGAGGTACCCTCGCAGATGACACTCAAGAACGAAACCTTTTTCCCCAAAATCTCCAAGTCAAACGTGTCGCAGCAAACCCCGGAGTTGAACTCGAACGTACGGCGGACCTTACTGACCTTGGGAGCTTTGAGTCCTTGGTGACTTTCACAAATGGGACACTTATACTCCCTAGCGTACCTCAAAGCACTCTCGGAAGCTCCGGCATGCTTCAGCATCAAACAAAACCTTTCCGTGCTAGGGTGGCCTAAGTTCTGGTGGGCTCGTCGAATGCTTTCCCGAACATGATGTTCCCCCTCATGTTCTCCAACAGCTTCAACGGCAAGAACCTCACTCCTTGGGGAGTGCCCTTGTTCCCTTCGTCGTTTTTGTTGAACAATGCATTCACAAACCACTTGACAAAATTGCCGAGGATACACTTGCGCCAACCTAGTCCTATTGACCCACTTCCCAGCATGTCTCACCTGTCCCTCACAGACCTGATGGTCATGGTTCTTATCGCAGGTGTGTCCCAACTTGTCCATGATGTCCTTGTCCATGTTTCCGATAAGTCTGGTCCCCTTTTTTATCGGAGTCCCGGTGTCCACGTCTTTCATGCCGAACATGCACATGTCCAACACAACCATGGCGACTCCCTCCGAACCACTCAGTTCGCCCAACGCTTGACATTTCCATGATCGGGCATGAACCGGATGTTCAAAAAGAAAGTATCTCCCCTGTCTCAACTGCAACTTGCACACTTCGATGCCAAAAAGGAGCAGGGTCATGGCCTTCTTTCTTTCATCTTGTTCTTTACTTTGGTCCTCACATGGTTGCCGGATCGTGGAAAAATAGGTGCATGGGGGGCAAACAATGCAAATCAGAGGTTTCGTCTCCGCGATGCGTCGATACACCTGGTTTCGAATTTCGGGGTTCAACAGGTCGTCTCCTAACTGCAGGTCAAAACAATCACCACTTCTCAGCCCATGGTCACGACCCTCATGAGACACACGTGGGACACAAAAAACCTCGCAGATGTCAGGACCTTCCCAGCCAGCATCCTGGCAGCTCTTTTGCCATGCCTCGTGACAGTCATAGCTCTCTAGTGCCTCGATCACACGTCGGAGCTTGCGACGTGTCTTCCTGTTCATACTTTGTCCTCCTACGTCGGTGATGTCAGCCGCCCCGGACTGTGAGTCGTTCGACTCATCTGTACTATCCGACATATGGGATGTAGGAGAATCTATGCATCCTCTGCATGATGAGGGGTGGTGTT